GTGGGAATGACATGGGGACACTGGGGCTGGGGTGGTTAATGTCAGGGGCTTCTCTAGGAGGAACACAGGCACACCGGGGCACAAGAGGGGCTCACATTCACTGGGGTGGGACCTGGGAACACTGGGGACATAGGAACACGGGGGCAAAGAGGAGGGCTCACGTCAGGGGTTTCTCCAGGCGGCTGCCGGCTGAACCCACAATCTCCCCCAGGGTGCAGAATGCCTGGCCCAGGAAATCCTGCAGGATCAGGAACATTGGGTGTCACCATGGGGATGCCCATCCCAGGAAGGCCAGAGGAGCAGGACTGATCCTGCACTTACATGCTTGGAGAGGTCAGGGCTCTTGGAGTCCACATCATACCTGGGGGCAGAGGGGACATGTGGGCATGGAACAGGAATGGGGGGCCTTGGATGGGACAGGGATGGGATGGAAAAAAGAATAGGGATAGGATGGGACAAGGATGGTACAGGGAGAGGATGGGATAGGGACACAATTCCACAATGGAATGGACAGAGATGGAATGTGGATAGGGACAGGATGGGACAGGGTGAGGACTGGATAGGATAGGGATGGTCCAGGAATGGGGACAGAACAAGGATGGGGAAAAGGACACTGGAGGGCTGTGCCAGGGTGGCCAGGGGGTGATCCTGGGGGACAGGGGGGTGACACTGGGGGTGATACTGAGGCCACAGGGGCCACTCACAAGTCAAAGCGCAGGTTCTGCCGCTCCTCAAAGCAATAATCGAGGACAAACTTGTGCAGGAAATCAGGATTCAGGGAATTGTCGATGACCTCAGTCCGGCCAAACTGGGGGATGTGGGAACAGTGGGGGCAATGAGGTGACAGGAAAACATGGGGTGTAGACAGGGACATGGAGACACAAGGACATGGGGATGAGGTGGTGTGGACACGGAGATGGGGACATAGAGATGCTGAGACATGGGAGCATAAGGATGGGAACATGGAAACACAGGACATGGGAGCACAAGAGCATGGCCATAGGAGATAGGGATACAAGCACATGGGGACATAGGAATGTGGTGATGTGGGCACAGTGGTATGGGGACATGGAGATGCAGAGACATGGGGGCATAGGGATGGAGAACTGGGGAAATGAGGACATGGGAACACAGGGATGTGTGAACACAGGACAGGAAAATGGGGGCATGGGAGTGAGGGTGGAGGCATGGGGATGGGGGACAGTGGGAGATGAGAATGTGGACATGGGAACACACAAATATGAGGACACAGTGACATGGAGACACAGTGAGAACATGTGGACATGGGGTTAGGGATGTGGGAACATGAGGATATGGGGACACAGCAATATGAGGACACAGAGACATGAGATTGGGGACATAAGGACACATGTGGGCGGAGGAGGCGTGGCAAGGGTGGGAAGTGGGCCCGGGCCGGGGCACATGCGTGGGAAAGGGGCGGACCCAGGTGCTGCTTTGTGCTGCTTTGTGCCAGTAGGGCTGCCCCCACCCCCTACTCCACCCCTTGCTCACTAGCCCGCAATTAACACCCTGTTAATTACAGGGAGCAGGGCCTGGCTGCATGCTGACATCTGATTGGCTGGCTGCCCAGCACCTCAACATGCTCCCCAGATCCCCAGGATGCTGGTTGGCTGATCACTTTGCCCCCCCGGCATTGATTGGGTAGCTGCTCATTTTCCAGGTGCTGCAGCTGAAGATGCTGATTGCTCACTGGTGACTGGCCAACTGATTGGAACCCCAACATGCTGGTTGGCCAGAATTTGACCTGCTCATTGGTCACCTGCCCAGCACCCCAAAACCCTGATTGGCCAGTTGCCCATCACCCCAACATGCTGATAAGCCAGAATCTTACATGCTGCTTGGCTGGCTGGCTGCCATTACCCCTGACATGATGGCTGGCCATCTGGTTGGCACACACACATGCTGACTGCTCATTGCCCCAACATGCTGATGACTGGTTGGCCTGCTAGCACCCCAATATCCTCATTAGCTGGCTGAGTGCAACCTAACATGCCAATTGGCCAGCTGAGCACAGCATAACATGCTGATTAGCTGTCCCCCACCAATTGGGTCACTCACCTCTCGCCATTGGTGGCTGCCAGGACGCTGCGTGTACAGCACACAGACTGCAGGGAGAGGGGGAGAGGAGGAGGGGGGGCAGGCACCCACAGAGACCCACCAAAATACCCCAGAGACCCCAAAATTCTTAGAGATGACAGCATTCCCAGAGACTCCCAAAACTCCCCCAGAGAGCCCCCAAAACACCTCAGAGGCTCCCCAAATCCCCCAGAGACCTCTAAAATCCCCAAAGAACACCGAAGACCCCCAGAGATCCCAACACTTCCCAGAGTTCCCAACACCTCCAGAACCCTCCAAAATATCCTTGAGACCCCCAAAGCCTTATAGAATCACAAAAATTCCAGAGATCTCCCAAAACACCTCAGAGACCCCAAAAAACCCCAGAGGCCATAACACTCCTCAGAGGCACTGATAGTCCCAGAGACCCCCAAAACCCTCAGTTTCCTCCAAAATACTTCAGAGACCCCCCCCAACCCCCCAGAGACCCCCAATCG